AGATAGATAGATAGATAGATAGATAGATAGATAGATAGATAGATAGAAAGATAGATAGATAGATAGATATTATAAACAAAAACAATCCAAAACATATTTATATATGCAGCCTGCAGACAGTGCCTTCTTGGAGCTTTGAGAACCATGGCAAACCTTTTCGTTGCAAATCCTCCAGGTATCACGTGGACGACCACTTCCGCGCCCAGCTCACAGAGCCACTCACCTTATTCAGCAGTTCCCAGACACTCCATGGGACTGGCATATAGATGTGGGTGGTTTGAGGGTCAATCTAGGTAAATATTCCACACATGGAGTGTTTGAGGTTGTGTTCTTCGTTTTCGAAAGTGGAGTTGTCCGTTTCGAGCTGGCTTCGAAACATATATAGAGCTGTCACGAAGTGCATTTTAAGAAAGGCCAGCACGTGTTTTGCTATTAGGTGTTTGAATTTTTGGGAGCTTCCACTGAGCCACTTGAACTTTCCAGAAAAACTGCAGTCAGCAAACGACAGAAACCGCCCAGGCTTTATCGGCTCTTGCTTCCAAAGGGTGGGAATTTGCTGGACCTCTGCAGTCAGCATGACTCTCACCTACCTCCAGAGGCGCGGTCGCTGAATGGGGGGTCCATGGTCGCGTCGCGTCGGTCTGTGGAGATGGGATGTTCGGGAGGACGGGCGAAGCCTGACTGGTCAAGCGAGTCGTCCATCGCTTGGACTGGTCAAGCATTGGAATCCGGCATCGGTCCGTTGTTTTTCCTCAATCCTGAAAGCAGAATGACCACGTGGGGGGGGGGAAGGCTATCAGCCTATGGCAGTGGGTCATGCCGGATAGTCGTTTCTGGGATCAAACGCTAAGCTCACTGCAAGTAACCTGCAACAGAATGGCCTTATCAACCGTAAAAGGAGGTGAATCACCGGGATTGCTACAGTGCACGGGCAGGGCTCAGCCTTTGTCATCAGTGAATCTCACACGTGCTGGCAGGTGGATTACACCCTGACAGTTCATGGCATGAACCAGTTGCTTGGGCGCAAGCAGAAATAATACAGAATCCTTTGCCTTTGGGTGGGTTTTCGAGGCTACAAAATGCTACAAACACCATTGGGAGCTTTGGGCTCCAGCTTCGATGGTTGTAGGTGCTTCAGGTCCCAAGAAAACCATGGCTCAACTCAAGGGGACTGCTTTGTTGCTTCGCCACCGCCAAGGACGCGGTGCTCAGGACTGGGAAGAGCGGGCCAGGGAACCTTTGAAATCATTCCAACAGTGAAACAAGAGGTGCTCAGCCTGGGCCATTCAGATAATCCTGGGGTTGTTTGTGTGATCAGTGCTGAATAAATACAAGCTGAACCACCTTCACCAGTATCCCAACCGGTCAGTGGATTCCTTCTTTTTCACGGATTCTCAAGACCATGATATAGATGTTTGATTCATCCAGTCAAAGCCAAGTCCGTGCACTGAAAACCCCCCATGCTGCCAAATGAACTATAACCTCCTCAACTTTGCAAATTTATTGTCCGCTCTCTCTCTCTCTCTCTTTTTTGGGGGTTTCTTCCGGAACCGGACGAGGCCTAAAAAAGCTTCACCGAAATGGTGGAGCTGGACATGATGGACGTCCAAAGCAATTGTCATTCCCGATGAGGATGGTGGTTCAGTGACCAGCTTCTTTTCAGGAGAGAGCGGCTTCGGAGCCAGGGGTATCCATATTCCCCATTGAACAGGGAGGGGAGTTCCCCAACCCCTTGCTAGATGACCTTCGTTTGAAAAGGTGTTCCGTTTGGAGCAGGTGTGAAAACAGGCTTGACCATGGGTGACCTGCCTTCAGTTCGTGAAGGTTGTTTCCCGGATTCTGGAAGAACTTCTGGTCAGCTTGGAGGAACTACCAGTGTTGCGTCTAGACGTCTCGGATGTCAACAAGGACCCCCACTATGTAGGGGTGGTGCATGGACAAACACACCCTGAAGCATCCTTAAACCATCCTATATATAACCGTAAAAACTTATTTCAAGGGGGGTCAATAGACTATATATATAGGGACTTCAAATGCGGGGTCACCACCCGCCCTGTTTCCTTGTCCTTCTTCACCTGCCAAAGGGGGGACACCGAGTCTCCCCCGGAGCGCCGAGCCGCCCCAGGTTGGAGTTGCTCGCCAACTCGAGGGCCTCGGAGCGCTTCACCCGGAACTTCAACGAGGTGACCGGGCGACAGGTGGTTGCGCAAGAGAGGTTGTTGGTGACCGTAAAGGGGTACCATACCTGGGCTGGTCAAAGAAAATGGTGCTTGAACCTGTGTTGGCTTGAGGCGAATGTTCTCCGGACGGGACCGATGTGTTTTTGTTTTTTTTTTTTTGCGTGGGGTGCTCAAAAAGATATCCTGTAAGATTCAAGGGGTTGAGATCCCTGGACCCTGAAAAGATGTTGTCTTTTTTGGCCTCGCCGGAAAACATGCCGCATAAAGATGCAGAATGTGCGTGACAGAAACATGACACCAAAATGACGCAGAAGCAACACAAAGAAAATGTCTCCTTTTGGTGGCAATAGAACAATAGATCAGGATCCGCCACCCATCACTGGTTCCAGAATTTGTTTATCAGGAGTTCATTTGATTTGATATCTTAGCATAGGCGGTCTTCCCGTCAACTACTCGTTCTTGCCCGATACTTAGACGTTCTTACCGGTTCCTACCTCACTACAATCAATAGTTGGGTGGACAAAGGAATGGTAGCCTTTTGGGCGAGTGAGTGACATAAGTCTCAAAAACTTTAGACTGGACTAGAGTCAGGTGGCAAGTGTTTGCTTTCTCAAAGCTTGTTCCTTCAAATTCGGGTTCTGGCTTTTGAAAATAGAGTTTGCATGTGGTGAAAAACAGGAATATATAACTACATCTTGCACTTACACTAAGAAGGCATGTCTGACGCCTGCATGTAAGAATGCATGTAATTCTGCCTGCAGTGTTTGATCCTCCTTGTCAGGTACAGGGGAAAGTAGAGGCGAATAAATTGACATACTAGTTCTTGGAGTAAAATGTATCGACCAAACAGGGGTTGAGGGGCAAAATAATATTCAGTTTTAGGACAATCCAATATACATTTTGTTTGGACCCCCCGTGTCATTGGTCTTTGCTGTCTCATCGTTCTCGTCAAAGAACACTTGTCCACACCCCCGAAAAGACCCTTGGCCGCTGCAGATCCTCCCGAGGACCCCAGCCTCAGCAACCTTCCGAGCAACTCCTTCGATGCGGTGCCCTGGCCGTACGAGGAGTGGCGCCGGAAGTTCGGCCGTGGGTGAGAGGACCAATGGGACCTCGATTGGCATGCTTGCAAACACCAGAATCTACCACCCAAAGGTGGGTCCTATGGAAAGTCTTAATTAATATGTCTTATATAGTTTTAATGCAGACACCTTGATTTGTTGAGCCTCACCTGAAGCAGTGTGCGGGATCTGTTTACTTTGTGGTTGTTTAATGTCAGCGTCATCCACATTTTAGCTGATGGGCTATCCGCAGTCTACAGTGCCACAGCGGTGTGCTGAATAGGATTTGACTGGATAGGGATGGCCCTTCAATTTACAAACCTCTTTGAACCGGACGCATGTTCCCTTCATGTGTTTGTCTTCTCTTTCCCCTTTTGTATCTTCTGGGGGCGTAGTGTACTCGAACAGTTGGTGTAAATGTACCGGACAACAATCCACGCACACGATTTTCCCACGCAACGCGGGACAAGTTCGTGCAGTGACCGGATCCTCTGCAGAAACCCTCGTGAGCCGTCGGGTGACCTGTCGTCATCGCCGTCGCAATCCATGGGACCGGAGGATTTGCCCATCAATTATGGTCATCAAGGCCAGAGGTGGGTTTCAACTGTGGTTGTGTTTTTTTAATTGTTTGTTCATTATTGTTTCAGGGCAATTCATATAAAGGTAACTGTTCAGGTCCCATGGATTGTGGGTCTGTGAGAGGACTTGACCGAAGTTGATTGACGTTTTCCTCTCATGAAGGCTTGTAGTCGGACGTCAGTATGTTCTCCAATCAATTTCTCAGAGGGTATGTGGATCCTTAGGGTTTGTTTCGTCCCGAAGCTATCCTGTACCTTTCTCACCGTGGAAGGTTAGACACGGGACCTCGATCAATTCAATTTTTGTTTAGTCTGTCGGCTGTCGGTTGCTTGACGAGCGAGGATTCGCCACTCGATGCCACTCCCAATCTGTCACCTGGTGACTCATCTGTCCATCGGTGTGCGATTTCGACATGCATCTCACATCATGCCGAAGAAACGCGTGACCACCCATGGTCAATTGAATTCTTTGTTTTTGGATGCCCAAGACCTGGGCAGTTGCTGAGTTGCTGTTAGGTGCTCATGACGGTGTCCATTCAGTACATGCAGCGGCCGGTGGAGCTGCTGAAGGAGGAAAGGCTTTCGGTGGTGCACATCCTTTGGGTCCTAAACCACCGAGTCTTTTGGGTCGGTGAACACCCCAAGAAGATCACGTAGGATCCATACAAAGCACCCAGCAACACGTGGTGGTTATGATTTGATGTATAGACTCTTGATTCATAAACCCCTCAATTTGAATGCAGGAACTCGCGGACGATCCAATCGCGCGCTCCCCCCAATTTGAATTGGACATCCTCTTCATATATGGGGGGGGTATGGTCGGTATGGTCCTCAAGAGTCTACAAAAAACCATCACCACTCGCCCGTTTCCCCGCATCTCTTCGCCTTGGCTTTCGTCCGCTGAAATCGATCCCTCGCCCTCGTCCGGATCCTCGGTCCGGATCGTCGTCCGTTCCGGTGAGGCCGCGAGAGTCCTGAAGCCCGGTGGCCAATTGATCGTGAGCTTCTCCAATCGCAGCCTGGTCCGTGCGGACGGGGACAAGTGGGACACGTGCGCCGTTTGGGGGGGCAAAGGCCCTGACTGGGTGGAGTGGAGAGTGGTGAACACGTGAACGTCTTCGACCGAAAGGGTTGTTGCCAAGGCCCAGGTGGCCCAGGAGAGTTCTGAATGCCTGACTTCTTGGACATCCTGCCTATATACCGAGTCAGTTGATAATTATAACCTAAAACAATTTTTTGGGGGGTTGGTTTCCCCGCCATGACATCAAGCATATATCAAATAAATATTGAGGGAGTCAGGCCGTCAGGCCAGCTAGCGGCTAGAATTCTGAGATGCAAGCTGGGTGAAAGAACATCATAAAGATTCTCGCAAGTGGTGAGAGTTTCTCGATGTTTATGTATTCGGATTCGGAACATTGAACAAGCAACACCAGACTTCATTCCTTCTAGTAGCTTCTTGTTACTAGTAGCGATGGCCTACACCTAGTAGCTTCTTGCTACTAGTAGTCTTCATTCTTCTACCAGGCATGTTCTTCACCAAAGCCATCGAGATTTGGCGAGCGCAACGAAATATGAAGCTCGGAGGTCCACCTCTCTGAGGGCGGATGGGTCGGTTAAACCGAAAAAGACCCGGACGAGCGTGGGTGAAATCCGAAGACCAAGCGTGATGGTTACCCACTTCCAAGTTCACGTTCATTATATAACAATCAGTGGAGATCAAGGTCATTCAGACCTACAGTTTGGTGTTCAGACCAGTTGGCATTGGTTGAATATGTATATAATATACAGTATATATTTAATATATTGGCATGTGCGTTCTTAATGCCATATTTCCCACTCCTTGCAGAGCAACATTTTGAAGGGTCGCGCGTTCACAACTAAATATTGTTCACTCTTTTAAGGGGACGATTGCCCCAAGGACCATGGAATTGACATCAGATAGAGGCTTATATTTGATAAACTGTACTCAGGGTCCAGCAGTCTCAAATGCATTCCCTGGAAGAGGCCACATAATTTCTTTCAAAGACGACAAACCCCATTGTTGCAGCTTTGGGGCTTCTTGTTGGAGCCCTGTTCTTGGGTAGATTACACCATAAGGAATGCCTCTATAACTGATCATTTTTTCTCCAAACAGTTTACTGTTGGGGTTCTATCTTAGAAAAAAGAGCTGGCCACACTCACTGGCCGTGCCCCTGAACTCTGTGGCTGGGCTCTGTGGCCCGGCTCTGTGTCCGGGCCTTGTCCTCCTCCTGTTCCCCAAACGAGCTGGCCACACTGACTGGCCACGCCCCTGAACTCTGTGGCCGGGTCTTGTCCTCCTCTTGTGCTGCTGTTGTCCTTCTCTTGTCCTGCTGTTGTCCTCTGGCCACGCCCACCTGCCCTGGCCACACTGATTGGCCACACCCCTGAACTCTGTGGCCAGGCTCTGTGGCCGGTCTTGTGCTCCTCTTGTCTTCTCTTGTCCTGCTGCTGTCCTCCTGTTGTCCTTCTTTTATCCTGCTGTTGTCCTCTGGCCGCGCTGACCAGCCCTGGCCACAATGATTGGCCGCACCCCTGAACTCTGTGGCCAAGTGTTTAGAATGCTGAGTGACGTCCAATCGGATGTCCGCGAAAGAAGCGGGTTCGCGTAGGGGCCCGTCTCACACAGTTGATAGATGGGGCGCCCGATAATGTGCCTGTGAGACCCATTGGACATTGTCATTTTTCAATAGTATGGTCAACAGCTGGAGAGGAGTCTGGCCGAACAAATAGCGACGTCGGTGCCAACAAAAATCATTCATGAATCAGTTTGCTCTTGGGGGAAGGTAGGCCGTACCAGGAAATCGTTTTTGACAAATATTGGTTATAGTGTGCGTGGGCCTCTTTGTCTGTTGCCCACTTGGATCTATTTGGATCTATATATAAAATGTGTGGATCTATATATAAATAATGTGAGGATCTGTTGGAAAAAGGTCAGGATGGAAAATTCACAGGTTGCCTCACCCACTCCTGACACATCTTGGAGTTCACTCATTGGCTCTAACTTTTTTCCCCTCTCACACTGCCTTCAAAGTCTCTGGGAGTGTGTGTGCGGAAACGCACGCACCTTGCACAAATATGGATTTGGCCAATGTGGCAACCCATCAAATCTGAATCGAACTGATTCATCAAAAAAGTGAATCACCCCCGTTTGCGGCCCTTGGGCTTAGGGGCGGCTGCTTCAGGCGGCTCAGCTTTGCTGCGCTTCTTAGCCGCAGCCTTTTTCTTCACATCCGGGTCAGGTGCACTCCTTAGATTCAAGGTAAATGCTGGGGGATAGGAAAAAGTATTTCTGGGGCTTGGGGGAAAATGTGTCCCCACAAAACACCAATGATGCGCCTCCCCAAATCACCCATGAAAAATTGCCAAAATTTGATTGTGTAGTCACTGTTGTCTGTGTAAAAAATCGGTTTCTCAAAACCACTGAAATCATCACCAATTATACAATTGGAGTTCTGTGGTAAAGGTATGCCTCCCCAAATAACAAACAACACAAATTGAACCCTTGCTCCCCAAATCGCCAATGAAAAAACAAGAACAATTACAGAATGCTGGCAACTTGGAAATAAACGCTTCGAGTACAAACTAGCATCTGTTTCGGTTTCTTCCCAAAGTCTTCAAACCGACTGCGAAGGGCCGCTGGGAAGTCCTTTGGTGAAATGCCAAAGGTCTTGGCAATCGTAGATGCGACCTTTCTGGCGCTTGCCAGCTGTTCCTCTGGCTTCGCATCCTGGCCCAACACCAAGCACTGCGTCGCCCCCAAGCAGCTCACGACGTTGGCAATGTTGCGCTGGATGTCCTGTCCAGTTTTGCAAGTCCAGCCAAATTAAAATGGAAATTAATGGCATGGCGGCATGGCCGTAACAGATTGCTTTACAGTTTTGGCCTTAAACCTCAGGTATGTTGTTACCCCCGAGCCTCCATCGACTCTTTGCAACTCGCCATGACCTGGAAAATGCCTGAATCTTCTGGCTTCATGGCGAGAGCTGTCTGAAAGTAGTTCAAGAATTCATGAAGGCCACCATGAAAGTCCACAAGGACTTGGATCTCCTTTTCACGCTCATGCTCTCCCTCTTGCGACATCATCCACAGGACATCGTCCAACTTCCACACTTCAGCCGCAGCCAAAATTGGCCTGGGAATGAAGGAGCACAGGATCGAGAGTGGAGTTGTAAAAGAAACATCTGATGGAATCATTGGAACCAAACACACTTTGATTAAAACAATCGAGTCAACCTCCTGTCTTGCATTTGTTTTCTTTCACCCCTCCTGTACTTTTCCAACGTCTGAAGTATTGGCTTTGCAGAGTCCTTCAACTTGGTGATAACCTTGTTAATGTTGCGCTCAACAGCTTCCACAAATGTCTGGGTCTTCGAGACTTCCTCCGGGAAGAGGGCTTGCAAAGACTGTGAGGACAAACTCTTGATTGTCACCAAAGACTTGGTGCGAACAGTTAGCTCGCTCACATCCGTGGTCGTGGTTTCCGGAACTTTCAACTCCTTCAGAAAGGAAGCCTGCGCGATGACAGAGCTGAAGGACTTCAGGGATGCAGGTAGGCTCTTGCAGGAATTGAGGTACGCCCAACCACCATCAGGGCCCTTGTCCTTGACAGTGCTCTGGATCCATTTGGAGGCTTCTGCGGCAAATCGTTCAACAAAGCGGGCATGGGCTTTTGAGAATGCTGCATGCCATAGGTCTGAATTCTCAGCTGACAGGCTCTTGACTTTGACCGCCAGCTTGTCCAGTGCATGTTGAAAAGTGCAACAACACTCCAAGGTGATTGAACCCTCGTCTGGACATGCCATGTGGAAATCGTAGAGGGCCTTGGCCACATCACGCAACATTGTTTTGCTCTGGCATCCCAGAACATTGCAGCGAACGTCGCCTGCCAAGGTTTTTGGACACTGTAAGTTCACACTTCAGAGCCCCAACAATTACAATTAAAATACACCCCAACAATTGATTGAGACTGTTGAGACAACATCCGCACCTTCCACCATCAAGAAGAGGAGGTACTGCTTGAGACTCAATTCAAGAATCACCGGCTCTCGAGCATTGTCAGTGGGTTTGGGATATGGTGTCGAGACCATCTGCTCAACCACTGCCAATTGATTTGCACCCCAGAGAGACTCAAGAAAAGCCCCAAAGGAGTTTGAACTGAAGTAGCTTCCATCGACAATCTTCTGAACCTTGCCCACGCTTACCCTGAGCAACTCTGCCTTGGCCTTGCCTGTTGGATCATCTGATGCCTCGCAAACAGCCATGACCCTGCAGCAGCCTGCTGAATTTTTGATCTCCTCAAAGATTTGGTCAACCGTGTCTGTGACACCTGCCTCAAGTAGGCTGTTAAGCTTGTCCATGTGCGCCAGCATGCGATCAGCATCTTTGACAGCTGCTTCCCGAACCACGGCACTCATGGACTTCTCAACCACTTTCTGCCAAAGATTCCTGGAGGCGACCCTATTCTACCAATTTACTGCAGGCTAGACAAATGCAACAAATGAAGTCAAATATGAGGGGTCCTTAATGCCATGCTAGCACGAAGCGACAGGTTGACTCGAGGTGAGCAGCTGTTGGACAAGGAGACCACTGTCTTGAAGCCTTCAATGAGATCCACTGTCAAATCCCCCGTGTTCTCCTCAACGAGAGTCATTGCAAGAAACTTGTGCAAATCCACCACCACTCGTGGGCTGAAGCCGCAAGCATCAGTTGCATGCAACTGATCTGTGAGAGGCATCTCACTGCATGTCCTGGGGCATCAGGGCAAAGCAAATTTCTTGAAGATTACATTGAACACGCTTTGTTTTTCTCCGACGTGGAAAGTAGAAGGACGTGACTTGTTAGACAAATCTGGCCTGGCATACTGTGGGTTCCACAGCTTCTGTGGGATGGAGCTGAGAAAGCAGGTCAAGGACTCCTCTGGCACAGTCTTCAATTTGTCCACCCATGAAAACCACAGGGTGTGTTGAAGCCGCAGCAAATCCGCAAGACTCAGCCGGCAATTCTTCTGGAGGTGCAAAGCGTGCAGTGTCAGGCCAGTGCATGTTTGATCCGCAACGGACAGAAAGTCAAAGAAGCCTACCGTTGGATCTCCAGTAACTTCCTGGTGCGCTGGCACACACTGATAAAATAACCAATATAAATAACCTGGACCTAAACTAAACTATAAACATTGAAGTCGTTGAAGCTGAAATAAAGAATTTCGTTTCTTCAAGGGCCAGTCCTCCAACAGTTTGCGGGCAATGTCAGACAGCATGGCGTTCAAGCAATCTGCCGGCAACTTCGCGATGTCCTCAATAGAGCGCTGGTCAATCAGTGGGAGAGTCGAAGGCAGCTTGTCCATCTGAATGTGAGAAAACAACTGTCGCGAGTTCTCCACTTTCTCAGCCAGTGCAGAAAGCTGTTTGGACAGATCCCCTGCAGAATGTGGTCCCACCTGGTCAAGCTTTGATGAGGCCTCCATAGCCTTGTGGATCCGGTTCTCAATGTCCTTTTCTTTGATAGTCCCCTGCCAAATGGCACAAGAGGAAATCTGTTCCAAGGACGTCAGTGCGG